AATAAAAACTTCTACAGTGTTGCACATCATGCCACATTAAGAGAAACTGTCATAACATCAAGCTAAATTTTGTTTTAAAACTGGCAGAATCTGAATTACCAATTAAAAAGAGATTATTGAATGGTAAGTACTGTTGATAAACACTGGTAAAGTCCAAATAATGAATCCTGGGATATAAAAATATATACTAAAATCAAGAAAGCAACATTATCATTCATACACATCCTTGAGCTCCATTCACATCGCCAGCAACTTTATTGCTGCCAGTAGCTGATGATTTGGTTGCATTCCAACTACTGGCTGCCTTCTTACATTTGTGAATGATGTTGCCTTACTTATGTATAGAAGAACTCGGTTTTCTTGTCACTAAAAACAAATGCTTGATTTTTGATAATTTTAATTTTTTTTTTCTCCACTTCATACTCATTGGTAATCACTTGTAGAATTCACGTTTCATTTGCATAAAGGCCGGTTTATACGTGACACGTCCACAAGTTCGCTTGGGTGTGTGTCAAATGAGACATCGACATGGTGTTGATGGATGTTCTCTTTGAGTGCACGTAGCATCATTTATGCAGACGGAGCATACATTCTTTGTGCAAGGCTCTGCATCCTATGATGCATGACTTGGAGCAGAGTCTGGCCATGCTGGGGAAATGTGCATGTGACAACACCTTTTGAAACCAAATACAACTACCTTATTTGACCTTTAGGCTTCTTTTGAAGCTTTGAGTGAAAACTATGCATATATTTATATATTTTTTGTTTGCATTGCATGCACAGTTAAATTGGAAAAATAAAACAAAGCCCAAGTTACTAATTTCTTACTAATTTCATGAAAAGCAAACATTTTCATGAGTGTCCTACAAAACTATCCACAACTTATGTGTTTTTTTATGAAGTTCAATTCATTTATCTTCTTCTCCATTCGGTTACTCCAAGTCGCCCCCTGTTGTTAAATATAATAGTACGAGTGAGCTCATCAAGCATGATCGGTCGGGTGAGGAGTCGGGTGAAGGCATAATTTAGTCTGAACATCTGTAATGCGTCTCTGGTCACTTGCCACAACTACATCCTGTTGCCAACCATCACTATCGCTTTTGTCACCAGCAGTTCATTGAAATTAATGGGTTTGTCCCACTTTGTCAATGTATGTCACTGATGGTGTGAATGGAGCTTTAGCCTTCCTAGCAGCTGAAGTGTGCGTTTGCGCTCATGTATATGTCAGTATCCAATATGATCTGCTCCAGACTGTCTTGAACCTTTTGACGAGACGGTGAATTAGGACTGGGTGATTAATCTCAAACGCGATTAAGAAAAGCTGTGGTTGTCATGCGTGACTTGCCAGGGAAACGCAGTTGTGTGATCAGCAGTAAATCTCCCCTAAAGGCCAGAGGGTGAAAATCTCTAAATACAACTCAAAGAAAAAAGCCAGGAAATCCCTGTAGCGTTGCTGAATAAACAGAAGATTTAACTGCTTAAAATGTCAGTAGCAATAGGTTTTTGTGTGTGTGTGTGTGTGTGTGTGTGTGTGTGTGTGTGTGTGTGTGTGTGTGCGTGTGTGTGCGTGTGTGTGTGTGTGTGTGTGTGTGTGTGTGTGTTTAACCCTCAATCTAAATACCTTGGACCACCTGAGGGTGAGCAAAAGTACTGAATTTTAAAGTACGTAAAATTTTAATTTTTGGGTGAACTACCCCTTTTAACAGGACAAACCCAGTAAAGTTAAGCTTTCAATGGGAAAAGAAAATTAGAAGAATTTCAAAATTAAATGACAAACTTTGAGGTGTTCAGCCTTAAACCTGAACTCTACAATTGACTCGCCTCTAGCATGAACTCCTGTTTTGGCAAGTCACATCACATGCCAGGTTTCAACAAAGAAGCAATTCTGAAGGTGAACTGCTAGAGGGCACAACAAATCCTCACTGGGGGAAATGGAGAAAGTGTTTCCAGGAATTTGGGGATAATAACCAAATCTTTTTGGGAAACTAGAGCTTGCTAAAACAAACCAGAAACGTTTAGGTCTATATCGGTGCACCATGATAAAAGCTTTAAAAAGAAAGAGAATTTAATAAAAGACAAGTCCAGACTGAGGCTTATTTGAACTAAAGCTGAGATATCAGAGGAAGTCTTGTGAATTCAACTATGCAAAGCATGAAAAGTGAGATATTTATCTTCTGTGCGCTGAAATGTTCAAGGTGTGGGGAACTTTTAGAGCTGATGAGTCAAATGAAGAGACATAGTAGAAGAAAAAGAGACAACAGCAGATACAGGTTTGACCAGTCTCTCTCTATCTCTCTCACTCACACACAATCATACACACTCTCTCTCTCACACACGCACGCACGCACGCACAGTTAAGTGACTACATAAAAGCTAGGCCAATGTTCAAACACCATAATAAATATTATATCATTTAATTATTTAATGTCATTTAAAAAATTATTTTTACATTTTAAGAAATATACGAGTTTAGCAGATACATTTATTTCTATACAATACCATTTAGTGTCATTCAATCTGTTTTACAAAATTGTTTAATGTGTATGAAAGTGTATTTAAGTGTATGAAATTAAAATAGTTTTTTTTTCAGCACAATTAAATGTTTAAATGGATATTTTAACAGAGATTGATATTTTACTAAATTGTTGTTGCACAGCAATGAATTCTTATCATTGTATTCCACTATTTTTTTATTTTGAACACATAAAACTTCTCTAGCGGATGAAGACTTTTTAACACCCTAATTTAACACTAAAAAAAAGCAGTAAAAGTTGAACCTGCATTATGAGTAACCCCGGCAAGAGCTTTACAGCTTTGAAAACTAGTAAAACCTTGTCAAAACATGGAGCATTTAAAAGGCTGTGTAGAAAGCTTCCCTTTGGGGTCCAAAGGGAGGCCCTGGAAAGAAATATGTCAGGTATCGGATGACTCTTGCAGCGCTCGTGTGACTGCACACACAGCTAATCTCAAGCTAAAACCCTGCAATGTAACCAGATTAAATCAACCAGTAACCAAAACAATCCAGAGAATAAAGCTCTCAGAGAAGAAGAAAAAAAAAAAAAAAAAAAAAAAAGAGAGAGTCGCATATAGGAGCTGATCATGCCTAGAAAGCAGATTTGGAGACGCTCTGTTTCGCAGTTACTGTGACTGGTTGTAAAACTCACTGGTGGGTCAGAGTCATAGATCATCAAAAAGAATTACAGCACATAACAGTGTCTTTATAGCCGCATGAAAAGGGGAGGTGAAAACTGCTAAGCCACATATGCGGAGTCTATTATTAGAGGAAAAAGTCCCTCTGGAGAAATCTAGTGTTAAATATCTTGTTCAAGACATTCATCTATAAACCTTTGTTTCCTCAGACCAACCATTTAAACTGGGTTTGTAGAGCAAGAATAAAAATAAATAATAATATGATACAACAACACATATTTTGGTGCCATTTTATGTAATAGTATATAAATTATGTACATTTATATGATGATCATACATCAATAATTAATAATAATACAATTTATTTCCATATTTGGGTCTCACTTAAATTTTAATTAATTTGGAGGTAAATACACGAAAAGGTTTTTATAATGTTAATAGTGGGTTGCCTTAAAAAATAAACATGTGGTCAGAAATACAATATATTATGAAAACTTATGCACGATATTGTTATCAAGGGCAATTTAAATCGGCAATTATAAGTCATATTAATAGTAAAAAAACTTTCTTTAAACTGAATGATTTTTTGTTTCATTTCTGTGGGTGTTTAAATCATGTTTTGATGACTGAATCATCCATTTTGCCCTTATATAAATGATTTACCATTTTAAAATATTTAAATAAAATTATATATAATAATGAAAACAACATATTCACTACACACATACATATTGTACAGTAAATAGATAAATAGATTCACAATTACAAGCAACAGGCTTAACTGAAAAAAATAATATTAAGTAGGGAAGTTAGGATAACTAGACAAGTTATTGGACAACAGTGGTTTGTTCTTTAGCTAATTAAAATATTGGGTTCTCAATAGACTGACACATAACTTGGGTCTAAATTAAGCAGACTATCCTCACTCAAAAAATGTTTCAACAGTCAAGTGTAAACTATCGCTTAGCATTAGATAGTGTGCAGTTTTTATAACCAGCCTCAAAATACTAAATACATTGCACAATGCTGTCAAACAACGTGTGTGTGTGTGTGTGTGTGTGTGTGTGTGTGTGTGTGTGTGTGTGTGTGTGTGTGTGTGTGTGTGTGTGTGTGTGTGTGTGTGTGTGTGTGTGTGTTTGTTTACATAGATAGATAGATAGATAGATAGATAGATAGATAGATAGATAGATAGATAGATAGATAGATAGATAGATAGATAGATAGATCACATTGCAAAATGTTAAAGGAACTAATAAACAAATGAAAAGGGTGTCATTACAGAAAGAGCGTTGCACGTGTTTGGGCTTATCAGTAAAAGAGGCGTTGTCGTGTACAGAATGATATGGTGACTTTGCCAGAAAATACTACCATTCAAACAGTATTATTTACTAACGTTATTCACCCACGTGAAACTTCAAACTTCTTTATATGTCTTGATTTCTGTAAGGTGTCGAAATGGTTAAATGTGTTCATAGAGAGTGTGTATGTGAGAGAGAGAGAGAGAGAGAGAGAGAGAGAGAGAGAGAGAGAGAGAGATGAAATTGGCATACGTGACAGGCTTGACAACTGAAGTGGAGGATTTTTAACAGACACTTGTTTAGCCTTAACCTTAAGGTTTCAGGTATTCTCGGCGTTACAACTCATTCTCGTGCGCTTATAAAATATGCTAATTTGATTAAACACCGAATCCCGGGTTAGACAGTTCTTTAACGTTAACGTTACTTACAAGACCGCCAACATACCCTGAACAACCCTTACAACTCATTTCCCACTAACAGACTGCAGTAAAAAGAAGTCATTTCCAGATGCACCAGTGGCAGGTCTTCACCGGCTGTAGGAAACACACTCACCGATCACCTCCTGCAGCTCGTAGTCATCCTTGTTGATGGACCAGGGTTGGGAGCTCAGGTCCTCCGACATGTCTCGGGATTGCGTACCTTTAATTACACCCCGCTGAATTCGAGCGCTAGAGTTTGGTGTTTACAGAAAACAACGTTTAAATGTTACTGTAATCCCCCAAGCAGTGGCATTCCAGATCCCGTCCGCAATTCTCTTCAACAGCCTTTCTATCATTCCCAAACTTTGCCACTAGCACCAAAAACCCCGCCCACTACATTCCTGCACACGGACGGACGCGATGGACGGCCATTTTGGGTGTGTAATAATCAGTCGGAAGTCTTTTAATTGCCTGTTCGGAAATATTTATCCTTTTACTCTTACATTTTGTCAATATTTGGGACAGATACTTGCTGTGGTTTATAAGTAAATGTTTGCGATAACGTTCGCCGTTTGCACAAATTAGCATATCAACATACAAATCAAACGTTGACTTAAAATGAGATTTAAATTAAAGTTAAACCTCAGCCCTGTACTAAAATGGATAGCATAATCTTCAAAATCATACTGAATTCGTTTGCTCTGGGGCATTTATTGAAATAACTAATTAAAATGGATCTTGCTTTTTATTTTCTGATCTTAATGATCATGGGATCATTATCACAATTTATTATACTGCCATCTCGTGGAAAAAAACAGTACAACCATTTCTTGTTATTAAAATGTTGTTTACACTTTATATATTATTTATTATATATTCAATAAAATGAGGATTTATCACAACATTCCAAGTAATATGTTAAAGCTAAATACCTTTCAATAATAATAATAATAATTAAATAATAATTTTAAATTATGAAAAAATAATTTTAAATTGTGCAATAAGCATAATTTCATAGTTTGTTGTAACAATTGTAATGAGTTAAATGAACCTCAACCCAAATTAACATTTAGCTTTAAAAAAAAAAACAAAAAAACTAATCATCCTGAAATGACGGCACAAATAAACTATCAATTTAACACTTCATATTAATTACATTTTAAATCTACTAAAAAATTGAACCCTGTTTAATGTTTTGAGATGAATAAAATATTTAACTTTAAATTTGATTTAGTAAATAGGTTATATTTTCAAATTTAATTTATATTTCTTTTTTAAGATAATTAACCACATAAAAAACAGGTCAATATTGTATTAGCTTTATTTTTTGTTCCATTAAAATATTTCAGCACATTACACTTTGTAAATACACTTTACCTCACTTAAAATGTCAAGAGATCATACAAGTACAAATTATAAACTGCATTCAAAGTTATTTGTTTCATATATATGGGATGCCTGAGGTTTTAAGTCTTTTCTCCAAACTACCTCAAGGTAAACCATTTTAAACAGTTCTCATGAATTCACATGCACATGAATTTCAAATGCCAACTGTTTTAACATGTAAAGAAAAAAAATAGATTTACTACAAAAAAACTCAAGGTTTAGTAAAGCTGTTTGCACATAAATCCATATGCACATCAAATTTAAAATTCAAAAATACCTCAACAATTGTTTGTTACAAAGCAGTGTTTTTAGTCTGTTCATTCATTCATTCATTTTCTTTTCGGCTTAGTCCCTTAATTAATCCGCGGTTGCCACAGTGCAATGAACCGACATCTTATCTAGCACATGTTTTACACAGCGGATGCCCATCTAGCTGCAGCCCATCTCTGGATCATCAAAAAGAATTACAGCACAGAACAGTGTCTTTAAATTTATCCTCCTCCCACCGATTATCCCAAAATGCCTGCAAAAGATGACCCAGCAATTGTGTTGTTTTGACTCAGCGTCACTGAAGTACGGTGGGGGGAATGTGCAGCTTTGGTTACAGGTATAAAAGGTGGTAGTAAGAAATTTTAAAATTCAGAAAGGTCTGACTAAAGGCTGTTATGAGCATGAATTTTATTTTGATCATCTGCAAATGCAAGGAATCTGCATTTATGTTACACTATTTTCATTTCATTTTAACAAATAATATGTTGTATCCCAGTCAGCCCCTGCTGTGAGTTGATTTGACCCAAGGAGCTGGGTTGAAACTACCCAAAACTCTGAATAACCGCCAAAAATTACCCAAATGCCTCAATCCAAGATTTGGGTAGAAAAAATGACCCAATTTTTTTTAGAGTGTGTGCACGGTAATCCTTGTGACTCGTCTAGGTAAATACGTAGTTTTAAGAATAATACGAATATAAGAATATAAAGAAAATACGAGTTATAAGAATATTAAAATGTTGGTGAATTTAGCTTGGGATGACATGATCACTTTGGCACTTGGGAGAGAGATTTTGGAGAGATTTTCAGTGACATCACATTCCAAAAATTGATTTGATTTTTAAACATTCAATTCAGGTTATTTTAAAGCAATGAATTTTCTCTCAAGCTCAGATAGTTGAAACCAGGGGTATTGCAAGACATAAAGCTCTACTGACGCATGGCCCCTCTGAACAGCACACTCACTTTTATGCTGGGTCTAGTGACACCCTCTGGTGAGTCTCTGTCTTCTGCTGCACTCTGCAAAAGACAAAGACAGCCCAACAGAGCCCTATACCTGCTGGCTGAGCTCCAGCAATGCACAAAATGTTCTACAGGAATTTTCAGAACATTTTTCCACAATGCTCTTGTGAGTCTCATTCTGCCTGTTGTGGTTCTGTTATCTACAATTTAAATAATTGCCTCAGAGAAGATATTTATCTATCAATTTGTGCCCACTACCACCTTCACCTAGAAACCATATCAGAGCCGCACTATTCTTAAAGTGACAGCATGCGATATTCCTGCTGCTGCCGACTGTTTTTATTATTAATCAATAATAAAATCAAAAATACAGTGAAGATGCTTAAAGAACAGTTTAAACATAACAGATTTAATAACTCATTTCTAATAACTTATTTCTTTTATATTTGCTATGATGACAGCACATTATATTTTACTAGACATTTTTCAAGATACTAGTATTCAGCCTAAAGTGACATTCAAAGGCTTAATTAGGGTAAATAGGCAAGTCATTGTATAACAGTACTTTCTTCTGCCGACAGTCAAACATAATTATCGCTTAAAGGGGCTAATAATATTGAGCTATTAAAATAGGTTTCAAAATATTTAAACCTGCTTTTATTCTAGCTGAAATAAAACAAATAAGCCTTTCTCCAGAAGAAAAAAATATTATTGGAAATACTGTAAAAAAAAAAAATCCTCTGTTAAACATAATTTGGGAAACATTTATATATAAAAATAAATTCACAGCAGGATGAATAATTTTGACTTCAACTGATAATCGTTTTGAATAATCGTGATTACAATTATGACCAAAATAATCGTGATTATGATTTTTTCCATAACCGAGCAGCCCTAACCAGTGCTCTTACAAGTTCCATCCTTCTGCCTGTTGAGTGTTTATAACTTGAAAAAGAAACACCTGACACAGACATCTATCTATCTAAGCCCACCACCACCCCCTTCCTTTTGGAAGGACATCTATTTATCAATTCATCCATCCATCCGTCTGTACATCCAGGAAATGCCTAATTTGACCATCAGTTTCTAGTTATTGCTGAGGTGTGATTCCCATTTCTTCATATGCCCTAGTCTGATCTACAAAATACAAAAAATAAGACTAACAGAGTTCTATTTGCTGGCTGATCTTCAACAATAAACAAAATGTTCTTCAGTGTTCTTCAGATCAATCAAAAACGATGCTCTTAAGAGTCTCCTTCTTTTGCATGTTGTGTCCAATACCTGAAAAAGAAACACCTGCCACAAACAAGACATCTATCTATATCTAAGCCCACCTCCACCCTCTTCCTCTTGGAACAACATCTGTTGTTGATAGGTGATCATCAGTTTCTTATCATTCCTAAGATGTGTGATTCCTTAGCTTCTCCACTCCACTATGTAAAATCTATCTATCTATCTATCTATCTATCTATCTATCTATCTATCTATCTATCTATCTATCTATCTATCTATCTATCTATCTATCTATCTATCTATCTATCTATCTATCTATCTATCTATCTATCTATCTGAAATAAATACCAAACTATCACTTAGTTTGTAAAAATAAAGTATATCATTTTAAATTATGATGTACAGTACTTGTCATTACTGAGATGTGTTTCCCCGTTTCTCCACATGCTCCATGCCAGTCTGCTAAAGTAAAAGATATTTTTATTAAAAGACTTTAATTAATTTCAATACATTTCTTTGGAAACTTATTCCATTTTTCAGTCTGTTCAAGCAGTTCTACCTGTTTGCTGAGCTCCAGGTCTTCAAGTATTTCTCCACAGCTCCCGTTGTGAGTCTCAGGGGTGTTGCTAGACGTAAAGCTCTGCTGGGGTATGCCAGGGTGAGTGCACAAGCATCACCAAGGGCATAACCTTCCAACATCCCCTAGGCCTTTTAATTATAGTTTATTCATTCATTCATTTTTGTCCACTTCCTCCAGCTCCTCCTGGTGGATCCCATGGCATTCCTAGGCAAGCCAAGAGACATAGTCCCACCAGTGTGTCCTTGATCTTTCCCGAAGCCTCCTCCCATTGGGACATGCCTGGAACACCTTCCTTGGTAGGCATCCAGGATGCATCCAAAACAGATGATCGGGCCACCTTAGCTGACTTCTCTCGATGTGGAGTAGCAGCAGCTCTACTCTGATCTCCTCCCGGGTGACAGAGCTCCTCACCCTATCTATAAGGGTGCACCCTGCCTGCCTGTGAAGGAAACTCATTTTGACTGCTTGTATCCCGAGATGTTGTCCTTTCGGTCATGATCCAAACCTTTCGGCTTAGCTCCTTTACCACAACGGACTGGTACATTGACCGCATTACTGCTACTGCTGCTCCAATCTGTCAGTCAATCTCACGTTCCATACTTCCCACACTCGTGAACAAAACCCTAATATTCTTGAACTCCTTCACCTGGGATAAGACTTTTCTTCAACCTGGAGATGGCAAACCACCTTTTTCCGGTAGATCACCATGGCCTTGGGATTGGAGGTGCTGAATCAAACTCAGCAGCAAACCACCCCAGTGCATGCTGAAGTTCCATGTTCAATGAAGCCAACAGAACAATATTGTCTGCGAATTACAGAGATAAAATCCTGTGGTCCCCGAACCAGAACTCCTCCGGCCGGCCCAAGGCTGCGCTTAGAAATTCTGCCAGAAAACTTTTGAACAGATTAGGTGGAGTCCAACATGCACTAGAAACAAGTTTGAGTTATTGT